AGTTGGGATGCTCGGATCAATGTGGAGAGCGGGAAAACGCGCACCACTTGGACGAACACCCCAATCACATAGGACCATGCAACCCCGCGGGTCGAGCCCCCTAACTCCCCACTTTTCTCTTGTCCTGCTCATCTACACCCTGCGCTGCCCGCACCTCGCGCTGGCAACCCGCCGCCTCCCGCGCTATAAATCCGCGCAACCCTCTCCTCTCCCTCTCTTTGATCTCGGCTGCAATGCTGCTCGAGCTATGCGCGAAAGTCCACGGCGCCGAACAGGCTCGACGAGCCAAAGGACGGGCGGAGTGACGACGTGGGGTGGACCCGCGGTAGTCTCGGGGCGACGCAGTCGGAGGGACCGAGCAGTGGTGGGGATTCGACGCCGGCCGCGGCAGGGCCTTGTGGCTATGGTGGTCGGTGGTCTTGGGAGGCTCGAAGGTTGCGCCTGGGGGCGGCAGTTAATTGGAATTTTTGTGTACAAGAAGGCCTCGCTTTTATCTCCATTGCTGCTTTGTCTATGCATGTCGTATGTGTGAAGCCCCGAGTGATGGGAGCTGGTTGTGCGCATGAGTGATGTCGAAGGTCTATGGATGATTAGATGTCCTGTCAAGGGTTGTTGATTGTTTGCATGCATGTGCGTATGTACTTGTCCGGGTCGGGACGGGGAAACTGAACTGGGGGACTGTTTGCCTAGGAGTACGAGTGTGTTAATCCCGTTGTTCCCCTCCCTTCCGCGGCCCTTCACGCACGTGCGCGTTGTCGGTGTAAGCTCTCTCCCTCTCTCTCTCCCGCCTTCCTTTTTGAGCTTCTCGTCCCCGTACCGGTGACGTCGATCGCCTGCGTCTGCGCGCGCAGTCGACGCCCCCACAAGGGGAAGAGATTTTCGATTTCGCCATCTTCCTCCGACGCACTAACCCTGAGAGAGAAGGTTGCATCGAGTGTTGTATGGAGTCGATGTTGGTTCGGATGACTTGGAGCGCGGGATCTTGCCCGTGTTCATCGCCTACCTCTGATCGTCTCGTCTCGCTACCGACCTTCCCCATCACAGATGACGACAGCGTGTACTGCGATGCGGACGTACGGCGCGCGCAGAGGCGAACGGAGCAAGTGTGCTGGTGAGACCCGCCTCGGGCTTGTGATATAAGGGGGAACGGGTTTGTCTTGATTGAGCGTTTTGATTCCCCGACTTTAATATTGCCTTATACGGGTTTGACTGTGTTGCCCTGGCCGGCCGCTCACGCCGTGTGGCGGCTGCAGTTTGATTGTCGCTGGTGTCGCCAGGGGGACTGGTATTTTTGGCGACGATTGGTCATGGGTTATGAGGGAGCGACACGTTTTCACGAGCTTTCCCGTAGTGCGGGGGCGCTGCCCGCGCAATTTCGAATTCGGATGCCGGTGAGTCCTCCCGCCGCTTTATCTTTCGGAACTCTGTGAGTCCGACGCTGAGGCTTGAAGGCCTCGAACCAACCACCTCTACAGCAAAGATCCGATGGTTCGGTCACTTCGTGAGGCCGATGACGAGGCATGAAGGCTTCAAACCCACCACCTATCCCCCAAAACCCTGACGGCCGAAGTTTTGTCTCCCGCCTGCATGGCCCTCTCCCCTTGAGGCCTTTTCCCGTCCTGATGCAGAACGGCAGTTCGTTTTCGCAGAAACCCTCCTGATTTTATCGTTTCGGAGCGATCCGACCCCCACGAGAGTTCGACTCCTGGGTAACCTCTGGCACGAAACGAGAGCCTCCCGTTCCGTCTGGGAGACTCAACCCCTACGGCCAAAAATCCTCGGCCACGCCCCTCCCAGAACTCTGATCGGCGACCCAGTACGGGAAGCCGCGAGGGGGCGTGAGGTTGCGTATCACAAGCTTTCTCAACTTAGGCTTATACGAAATGGTGGTTTAATTATGTATGACTGGTATGTTGGTGTGACGGGTAACTTAATTTCCTCGTGCCTCGCAAGCATCCCTTAGCATGCAAGACTTGGGTTGCATACTTGTGCTCTCACCTTAAGCCTATCTAAGTTGGTTGAGGTTGCGGCAATGCGGCTGCAACTACGTGGTGGGGCTACTTGGTAGTTGAGGCTAGGGGGGGGGGGCGCAGTGGAAAAACACTTAGAAAAAAAAAAACAATAAATTTAAAAGTTTGAACTTTTGTATTTTAAAAACGAAAACCGACAAATTGTCCTTCGGGTCATTTGTTAAAATCAGAATAATAGAGAGGACACTAACATGGCCCCCGCACAAAGATGATACACATAAATAGATTTTTTTTTGGGAAGAGGCAATGCTCATCTTCTTGATTTATGCATGTCATCCTGGCTCAAGACCGTGCTAATCGTTTTTGTATCATTCAAATTGTCAAGCTTTGTCGAAGCGTCAACGACCTTTTTCTTTGGCTGGCTGGTGCTGCCAGCCATCTTAGCCTGGTAGCATTGTTCACATGAGAGAATGCGGTATAGGTTATATCGGTATTATAAGTTTGTTTGTAAAAGATAGTGGTACCTCTAGGCCTCTTTTGGCTCACAATTCTAATGCACATGGTGTTACAATACCCACCCTTTGAAACACCCTCCAAATGCTGCATAAGTCCGGTCGAAATAAAACAGGGGAAAACAAGTCTGCTGATGATTGCCAAATTACACAGAAGTGAGTAAAGTAGATACGTTGCTACCCCGCAAACATCGAAGGTGGGTACGGCCGCTTCGCCAAAATCAGGCAAGAGGAACGACTGACCCTCTGCGAGAGTGGCTAACAGACTTGTCGTGCTTGCACAGGTTTGCGTACACGATGACAACGGGAGCTGGTTGGACCGCCGAAGGCACACTGCAAGAGGGATCTCAACTTGTGGTGGTTGGATAATCTCAAACCTTATATACTATCGCAGAACTAAGGACAGAATTGGGAGGACTGGCGAGGTTGTACTGCATCCCGGGTAAGTCCTCTGGACCCACGATATTCAACCGTTGATGTTGATGCTGCTTGCTGCAAATGACTACTGTATATGTTGTTGGTCCCGTCGTAGATGTCGTGGATTTGTGGTGATGAGAAGAAATGTCACAAGTACAGATGTCCCAACCGAAGGGGCCCGAGGAACAACTGTCGATAACTGACGTGACGAGGGCCAACCGTGCGGCCTCCAATCAACGTCACTCGAGTAGAACAGTTGCTTCACCATGCTCTACAACCACGGATGAATGTGGGGTCTGGAAAAATGCCCGAAAGGCTTAGGGTAAGTAATGTGGGATCAGACCCTAAGTCTTCGCCTGTGAAAGGTAGTGGTGGTTTATGAATAAAAACCAAAAAGGATAAACCCGTTTTTCCTTCTTTCCTATTTTACCAGTGACCGACTATCAGCTGCATGAGGTAGGTCGAGGTTTCGAGGCTCCGTCTGTAGAGTGATTGTGCCTACAACTTGAACAAACTGTTTTGTTGTGTGCTGCGCCAACGGTGTCAGTTTCCGAGTCCTCAGCCACTATCATCGGTTGGTAATCTTGGGAACCACTGGGACTATGGTTGGGTTCCATCAGGAAAAATCGACTTTCCGGATCCTTCCATCGACACCTTTAGTTTCATGCATCCACGACCGACGACGAATCCAAGTTCTCTTTTACATACAAACAAATTGCAATAATCTATAGACGACATCATCACCATCCAGGATCAACGGTAAGGATCAAAGGTGAAATGAAATCACCTACCGTCTTCCCCCGAACATAACGCATATGAGTTGTATTCGAGTTTTCCAAAAAACTGGGTTTTTGGAAAGTTAGACCCTTTTCTTCGAATACAAGGGCACTTCGAATACAAGGCATACGCGTTTTATTCGAATATTACTCATATGTGTTATATTTGAATTTCACGAAGAGAAAATTGTTGTATTCAAACATAACCTTTTTGTTTTTCCCCCCGAAGGTCAACACCTGCTCCGTTTTTGCCCCGGTGAATGGGACAAGCCAGTGCAGGCCTGTAATCATAGATCACTGCCCGTGCTCTCTCTCTCTCTCTCTCTCTCTCTCTCTCTCTCTCTCTCTCTCTCTCTCTCTCTCCCCGTCCGTCCGTGCGCGAAGGTGCTTCTGACAGCCAAGAAAGCGGTACTTCTGATAGCCAAGAATGTGGCATGGTCAAGAAAGTGGAAAAGCAAGAAAGCCACTCACCAAGGTCTCGCTGCACTACCGAGGTCACGGAGACAAAAAAGAAAGGGGTTGTACATTTGCTGAGGAGTGGAGCAAGGGCCCAAGTAGGGGAAAGGAATGAAACTCGACCCAGAACATGGAAAGGTAAGTCGCTACTTTACTTTTACCTTTCTGCCAAGGCTCTGAGGCTCTCAGCCGTGGTCCAGAACTTAGCCTACTCAGCCTGGACCTGACCCCCTTGTGCAGGCAAAGTTGGTCTCGTTCACTCGAACATAGCGCATATGCGTTATGCCTTATGTTCGGGGGAAGACGGTGGGCTGAAGAACTGCTTTGCTGGTCCGAGCGGTCCCACTGCTTTGCCCATTGACTGTACAAGTCACAGGGCCCTGACAACTTGCGACGTTTCCCGAGCAGCGCCTTCCATGCCCCGTCCGCTCGCGGCACTCATCGGCAAGATTCTCGTAATCCGTGCAACTGGGACCCTCTCCCGGCAGACATGGACAATTTGATTTGATTTTGTTGGCGGGAAGGAAGGACAGAGCCGCAACATTTTTGGCGGGAAATTATAAGGCCGGCTACCGGTAACGGCCCGCCGGGCTTCTGTCCAAAGGTGCCTTGGGCGCAGCTGGCTAACAAAGCTCCCTCTGGCTAACGGCTTTTGCGTTAGCGGTCTGCCGCCGCGTTGTCAGTTTTTCGATGCTCGCTAACGGCACCAAACGGTGGCGGGAATATTGGGGGATTACGAGTTCTGCTCCGTTGGCGTTCCCCGTTCTTCGTGGCGTTGGTGTCGAGGCTTAGATCGAGATCGAGATCGATATAGGAGAGAGAGAGAGAGAGAGAGAGAGAGAGAGAGAGAGAGAGAGAGAGAGAGAGAGAGAGAGAATTCTATTGTGTGTTGCTGGTGGGTGACAAAGGTTAAGTGCGGGGGGACTTGGAGGGAGGGGGGGGGAAGACGAATGAGCATGCTATTTTCCGGGTCGTTGAGGAGATTGGGCGCGGGAGTGTGTCGACTGAGGGTATCAACGGGATGGGTGGGAAATGGGATGGTGAGCGCCGCAACATGTCGGGGCGAAGGAGGAGGAGGGCGAGGGGGAGGGGTTCCTAACTGTCCATCCATGATCGGTGCGTTGGCACGTGGCGCGCGTGGATATAACCTTGTGCCGATGGTTATCGAGCAAACCCCGAGGGGAGAGAGAGTGTTCGACATTTTTTCGCGCTTGCTCAAGGAGAGGATCGTGTGCGTGAATGGGCCAATAACCGACGACTCCGCGTCGCTCATCGTCGCACAACTGCTCTTCCTCGAGTCGGAACAACCCGATAAACCGGTACACGCCGTGGATGTGATTTCTATCCATGCCTTCATACACGTGTGTGTGCACAGAGGCATAAGCATGCACACACGTGTGAAAGTCTGACTGAAAGTGTATGTTNGAGAGAGAGAGAGAGAGAGAGAGAGAGAGAGAGAGAGAGAGAGAGAGAGAGAGAGAGAGAGAGAGAGAGAGAGAGAGAGGAATGCCGATGGGTGAGGGAGGGGAAGGAAATTGAAGAGGGAAGTGGGAAGAAAATAAATTGAAGGCGGAGAAGAACGAAATGCACGGATCGAAATTCTGTTATGAATGAATATCCGAATCCTGTCTATGGTGAAGGGGACGGATCGTTACGATCTATATGTATGTATGCATATCTTTTTTTGAAATATTAATACTAATTACATGTCTATAGTCTACAGTCTATAGATTTTAAATTTTAAATTTTATCTACATAGATTAAATTTTTGTATTTTATATCGCCAACCAGAACTGCCGGGTAAACCGTAGTGGGGAGGGAGAGTGAGGGGAGGGAGAGGGAGGGGAGGGAGAGGGAGGGGAGGGAGAAGAGGACAAGAAACGAGAGGGGGGTGCTGTGACAAACTGTTCCGTCGGAGTTTCATTGTCTCATTCGTGAAGGAGGCTGAACCCTCAAAACAGTCTGCAGATTCAGTGTAGAGTCCCCTACCTAACTGATACCCTGAGGTAGTGGGGACCACCAACCACATACTGTAAGTGATAACCCACCTTAACCCCGGTTATGGTTAAGTTTCAACGACTGGCCAACAACTGATACCCTGAGGTAGTGGGGACCACCAACCACATACTACTCTCACAACGTACCCCCTGTGACGACAATCAAAACCCCGCCGACTATCACTCACCCACCCACACCAGAATGGAGAACCCTACAGAGACGGTTAAGGTGGGTTATCACTTACAGTATGTGGTTGGTGGTCCCCACCAACCACATCAGAAGCCAGCAAAACACCCAATATCCCGATGTGTCGATGAACTCCGATGAAACAGTTTGTCACAGCCCCTCGGTTGTTGTCCTCTTCTCCCTCTTCTCCCTCTTGTCCCTCCCTCTCTGCCACTTACGGTTTACCGTGGCAGCTCTGTTTGACGATAGGGTTCAGCCTCTACTGAGTGATGAGTCTGTTGGTGAAAATCCGACGAAACAGTTTGTCACAGTCCCTCGGTTGTTGTCCTCTTGTCGATGCGTGTGCGAGAAGCAGTCTATGGCTACTGTTTTTCACTATTCACTATTCTCCCTCTCTGCCACTTACGGTTTACCGTAGGCAGAAGGCATATTAGCCAAAGCAAAGCAATTGACACTTCCCTCAGATAAAGCAATTGCCACTGTCACAACAAAGTTCAACATATTTTATATTTTTCCTTTATTTTATTTTTTCTTTTTTTCTAATTTTTTTTCTTTTTTATAAATATATATATATACGGCAGATATTCATCCCAAAGGTGATCCATTCCTAAAGCGTCACCTGTCCCATACAAGAACCGAAGGTAAATAAATTTCGGCCACATACGAGTGAAACCAAAAAAAAAAAGAAGAATTAAAAAAAAAAGAGGGAAAAAAGAAGAATCGAAGGTAAAAATAAATAGAATGAGAAAGGTTGAGCAATCGACCGTGGGCTTGGCTACGTTGAAGGAAGGACACGTGGCGCTTTACAAAAGCAGGGTTTTTGAGTCTCTGCCGTAAATATATAGATATATAAAGAACAAAATTCGGTTTTGAGGCTCCCTTGCTAGCGGGACTAATAGAACGATTCGGTTTTGGAATAGGTGCGTCTTGACCGCACGCAGATGGATGCTAACAAATACCCGTCTTCCCCCGAATAGAACGCACGGTTCATTATCTAAGGCAGTATATGCGGCAACGTTCAGTCTAGATGCAGCGATAACGACCGTGCGCTCTATTCGGAGGAAAACGGTATTATGTGTTATCGTAACACTGTAATAACAGGGTTATCTCACGCGAGGACGATTTATTTGTTTATTGTCATTATGTATTGATTCATTTAAATTGTTTTAGTGTTTTGAAATTGTTATTTTGTTTTTGAAATCCGGGATTGTAGTTATTGAAAAGGAAAAGATTAAAAAAAAAGGAAAAAAAGAAAAAAAGAAAAAAAGAAAAAAAGAAAAAAAGAAAAGGAAAAAATTTCGATCTGATTAAAAAAAAAAGAATCGTCGATTAAAAAGTTGAGAATGAATTCTCACAGGGTGCCACAAAACAGCTAATCTCAAAAAAAAAAAAAAAAAAAAAAAAAAAGATTTCGCTTTTTTGGACGCGTAGTAATTGACTTTTTTTTTTTTTTTTTTTTTTTTGGGTAGCCCCTATTTTTATTTTGTCCCAGTTTCTGGAAGGGTGGGCCTTAGCCCGGAGTGTACTCAGATTTTAGGACTCTTCTTGGACTGGAAGTGGTCGCAATTGCGTCCACATACTTCCAGAAGAGTCCTACCGACCTTATCCATCCGTCGTGGTCATCACTGATGCAGCCCTTATCCATCCATTCGATTTATCAGCAGCAAGCATGATGTTGACGACCACGATAATTGCCCGTCTGTCGTCATGCCTTGCTTACATTCTTTGTCTTGAATTCATAAAGGGCCCTCTTCTCCTCTTGGCCTCTTCTCCTCCTGTTCTACTCTTCTCTTCTTCTGTTGTCCTCTTCTCCTCTTCCCCTCTTCTCGTCTCTCCTCTTCTCCTCTTCTCCTATCTCCTTTTCTCTTCTCCTCTTCTCCTCTTCTCCTCTTCTCCTCTTCTCCTCTTCTCCTCTCGTCTTGTCCTTTTGTCCTCCTCGTCTCCTTTTTTCCTCTCCTCTTGTTCTATTCTCCTCTCCTTTTCCTCTTCTCCTCTTCTGCTCTCTTCTCCTCTCTCCTCGCCTCTCCTCGCCTCTCCTCTTCTCTCCTCCTCTCCTCGTCTTCTTCTCTCGCCAGAATTGTTATCAATCCGTTGTCGACGACGTGTAATTTTAATCCAAATCTATGATTTAAACGTGATGTAACCAAAAAAATCAAATCGACAATTCAATCAAATCATTGAATCAATCAATGCGGATGACTCTTCATGTGAGTCATCCGTAGTGGATGCTGTGTTTGTCGTTTCATTGTCACGTCATCTGGTTATTATTGATAGTTATCATTGTCCCCTTTGTCCCCTTTATCCACTTTATCTACCTTATCCCCTTTATCTACCTTATCCCCCTTATCCACTTTATCTACCGTATCCACTTTATCCACTTATCCACGTTATCTACCTTATCCACTTATCGATCTTTTCTCGTCGTGATGACGAAACGTAATCACCGTCGTCTTCATGGTCAGCGTCATCATTGGTCATCGTCCTCCTCTCTTCTCTTCTTCGTCTTTCGTCCCCTCCTCCTCTTCTCTCCTACTCTCCTCGTCCTTCTCTCTTCTGCACCTGTAATGTGGGGGAGAAAATGATTTGCCTAAGAAAACCTTGAGGTTTGTGGCTCTCGATGAATGTGATGTCATGGGGTTTGTGGCTCCGTGGATATCATAGCACGTGCGTACGAACCACCTCTTCTCCTTCTTTTATCCACCTGTTCTCCTCCTCCGGCTCTCCTTCCCCCCATTCCCCCTCCTCCCTATTCCTCTCCGTCTCCTTGTTTCTACCCCTCCTCCTCCTCCTTCTCCTCCTCCCTCTCCTTCCCCCTCCCCTCCTCTCCCCCTCTCTCCCCCTATCCCCTCCACCCTATTTCTCCTCCTCCTTGTCCCCATTCCTTCTCCTTCTCCCTATTCTTCCTCCTCTTCCTCCGCCTCCTTGTCTCTATTCCTCCTCCTTGTTTCTATTCCTCCTCGCCCTCCTCCTCCTCCTCCTCCTCCTCCCCCCCCTCCTCCTTGTTCCCATTCCTCCTTGTCTTCCTCCTCCTCCTCCTCCTCCTCCTCCTCCTCCTCCTCCTCCTTGTCCCCATTCCTCCCCTTCCTCCTTTTTGTCCCTATTCCTCCTGCTCCTCCTCCTCCTCCTTGTCCCCATTCCTCCTCCTCCTCTTGTCCCTATTCCTCCTCCTCCCTTACGACGATAGCATACTCGTCATCATATGAGCATGGCGATCCTCGTCGTCGTTGTCTGACCTCCTCTCCCCCTGGGTCCCTGGATCGCCTTAAGAAGAAGAAATCCATCCATCAAATTATCATCAGCTCTCGGCTCGCATGATCATGAGGAGAAGGGGAAGGGGACAGGGCCCATTTACCCCAGAAGCTTTGTTTCTGTTTCCTATGAGGGGTGTCGATCTTCGTAAGTAGCGAACGGAACAGGAGATAGCCTCACGTTTCCTACCATTGCCATTTTCACCATCGACCAATCATCATCATCATCATCGTCCTAACAGGGATCATGATCATCATCGGCATCGCCATTGCCTTCGCCATCATTATCGTTGCGATTGTCGCTGCCATTACGAGTATCGAAATCGGGGACATCCGCCAACGTTGTGAATGCATCTGGACATCATTTTGTCCAGATGTCCTGCCTGCAGAGGTCCTTATATTCAATCAAAGGGGGTCCCTGCCAGCCTCTACCGCTCCTTGCAATCCAACCTCAATACCATTCAAACGAATCATACTTACCAGACCCAGGCGTACCTCAATGCCATTCCGAGATCTAAGGGCATACTCACACTAGGACTTCTTTTCGTCAACGCTCTGGACGTAATTGCGGTTAGGTTCGTGCAGGTCTGGCCGTAATTGCCGTCAGATGCATTTCGGAAAGTGCTAGTGTGAGTATGCCCTAAGTCACGCATGCCAATGGACTCCTTGAGCTGTCAGCTATAACTGTTCGAGTGCCACACGAGAGATATCTCATGGATCTTTCCCTTTTGGGACTTGCTCCCTGGGCCTATCTTTTTTTTTTTTCTTTTTTTTCCTTTTTTCTTCTCTCAATTTCACCTCACACTACCTACCTACCACACTACTCCTAATTAATTGTAGGCATACGGGGAACCCCTCACCAGCCACCCAGAACCGTGTTCACGAGA